CCGAACAAAGGGGACAGCGTTCATATCCCTCTATAGGTTCTAAAACAAAAATCAATATTTAAATTTCTGCTTTATTTAACCCTTACAGAGGCATACTGGTTCTATTCGGATTTTTATTAACATTTGTATTTACGACAAATTAAAGTGTGCTTAGTACTTATTTAAATTTACAACTTTCTAACTTTATTACATTCTAAGTCTATTACATTCTAATGGATTTGACAAACGCGTTTTTTTTGTTTCAATTTGTTTATATTTAAAATATATTGTTTGATTAATTAAAATATCACTAGAAAATTATAGTTTAAGTTTCCAAAAGTTTATATAAATTATATAATGTATATATTAATAGTTAATAAATATGAAGAAAACATTAAAAAGATTGAAAGGAAGAAAGTCGGATATATACATCTTCTGCCACTATAAGGGTTAATCCCTATTAACATATCGTATCGAAATAGTAAAGTAATACTTGTGCATTTTTTGTCTTGTCTGTGAACCTCGAACGCATTTTCATGCACCGCTTGTTTACACGTATCACATTTTACGTAATTGCTTCTCATGTCGCATTCATCTGTAAAAAAAATAAATTAATACATAATTTCAATAGATGCAAAAATTATAAATTTTTATCATGTTTTCTTAGTGTATTTGTTATGAAATACTTTTGAATATTAAAAGCAACTTGAACAAATATTAAATTCTCATATACTTACTCAATAAATGCAAGTTCAAATAAGAAATTTCTACGACTTGCTTACACGCTTCGCATTTCGTTAACATGGGACAAGTTCTCCAATAATGTATGTTCAAACCTTCTTCGGAGTACACTTGACCTTTGGACAGGCAAAATATGCACATTCTGCAAAATAGGCACAAACAAAATAAACAGAATAATTCTCTGTATCCTTTGGAACTGATGAATTCAATTCACATTGTGTGTACGTACTTATCTCCCTTATGGTCGACACTGTTTTCGGACGGAGACGTGATACTCGTTGAACTTCCGGTACTCACCACTGGGCTAGATCTCGAGGGTGATTTAGTTAAATTAGTTACATTATTTTCTGTAGATCTAGTTCGCGTAGGCGTCGTCGTTGCTTTATGAGTGGACTCGGCTTCCTTCTTCCTCTGCAATTATTCGTGCACATAAATATGAAATCTTCATTTAACATATTGCGGGTATTATGCGTACCTGAAGATCGATCAAATCGAATTCATGGAAGAGCTGGCGATATAGTAGATTCCGTCGTGTTATATCGTCATCAGGAGGCAATTGCTTTCGTACCAATCTGGGATTGACTTTGTATACCAATACGAGAATTCTCTCGGAGACCTTTCGTACTGCCTCAGCCGGGTGATGCAGACCGGAAGAACCTAATTCGGATAACGTCCGACAAGTCAACCCGCTACAACAATTACAATACCTTATCAGAGTAATTGCGTTTTAATAATACAGGGTCGAGCTTGAGGAAGGACCACTGCGGATCGATTAGAGATTAGGATAGACGAGAGTCAGAAGGACTGCATTTCGATGGCAGAGGTCCAATATTCCTCAAAACATCTAATAAACATTCCTCATGCGAACTTGTGTGTCCTGAGGATATCGTTCAGAATCACCTTTGTTTCTCCGTGGAAATGCCGTGGCTCAATATCAATTGCTCCACCATCTCCAGCCTGCTCAACGCGAGCCTCTGATGTGTGCTGCTGTTGACTGGTCTGGTCAGATGTACCGGTATTATGTGCAACTCTCGCACGCATTTGCAATCTGCCATGCTGAGGATTGTGTGTACTGCCATATTGTGTATCCTCGGGGTAGTGTCACCAGACTTGGTCAGAAGTTCTGGTAGCAAACGTTCAACGCTTCTAGCAATCTCAGTTGAAGACACTCTAAATAAATTGTTTAATAAGACATCAATTAAACTAGATGCTGAACCCTTCAGCATGAAAATATAGGAGCATATTTATATATATATCTAGTTGATGCGAAAAGTTTACCTGTCCGCGGCGAACTCAGCGAAGAAAATTCGGATAAGCTGCGCAGCCAAACTATATACGCTGAAAACTTTATCTCTGAGAGCTCTGTGCAACAGCAGAATCGCCGCTCTGGCTGTTTTATTCGGAGAATGTTTTGAAACCGCTGAATCGAACGTCTTCAATTCCTCTTTCAGTTGCATCAGTCCCTCCTCCTTGTCAGTGAATTGCTTCGAGTAGAACTTTTCCACCTGCATGTGTTTATCGTTATTACTTATTCCGTATTCGAGTATTGTAGGGATCTAGGTTTGTTGTTACCATTTCCATCCCGAAAACTGAAATAGGTAACGCGGCTTGTTTCTTCTCCCTGTCGTTGAGTTTCGAGGTAACTTTTGTCTCTGCGCTGTCCAGATGACACTCTCTCGTAAATTCGTTCGTGTGCGAGCTAAACATGGATATCGACGAAAAGTTTATAACGCTGTTTTGATGCAATTACAATGTTTCAACGTTATACTGTCTTACTGTCTTAGAGCGGGAATGGTCCTTTCTTCATAGGCTTCGTAACTCGATCGAAGAGCTGGACCCGCTGATTTAGTTTTCCGCCTAAGGGATCCTTTGTTGCAATTCTGTTTATCAAGGACACCATTTGCAGGACTGTCGGTTAACTCTGACAAGTAAATGAAAATTTAATGTTATATAAACATTTAAAAATTCCAAAAATCTAAATCATGTCAAGAAAATAGAACTATGCTATAATATATTCTTCAGATTATACCGGGACTGTTAGTTTTCTGACGCAACGGTGATACGGGCGGTTGATGTGCGGGACCAGTTGGTGATATGGCACCATCGCGATTAGGTGGAATGACTAATCTTGGGGGAGATGTCATGTCGGGCAACGCCGCTGTGTTCGAATTGTCGGCTGATGTCGACTCTTTGTCCTCCGCGGTCGATAGATTGTTCTTTTCCACAGGCTGCATCATTTTTTAATCGGTTAAATAATTATTATTATTGCAGCTGAGCTTTTGCTAGTCGCTACAGAAATTTAAAATTTAATATTAGCCAATTTAATATTAAAAGATAGTGATTAATTACCCAGAGAGCCCGCAGAGGTAGTTTTTGAACAGAATATGTTACCAATTTCTGATGGCAGAAAGACAAGAAATTACACAGTCTATACCAGCAAATTGGCAGTAGAACATAAGTAGAATACGGCTGTAGTTGATATCAATTTGCTAACATTTCTGATCAAATGTTAGTCTGCTGACATTTTGCTTACTGAGTACTTATTTTAAAATGTATTTTAAAAGTACTGCTTAATACTTAATAAATAATTAATCACTATCTTCCAGTATTAAATTTCTGTAAGAGAGCCAAGAAGTTTCAAAGAAGTTGTTTCAAACACTACTCACTCCATGGACTTCGAGTAGATTGTATATTTCCAACGATTGATAGACCTGTTGTCTGTACTGCTGAGCCTGAGCCTTTTTAGCCTTAGCCTTATCATAATCTTCCAAAGCTATGGCGTATTTCTTCTCCAACTCGTATTTGCCCAGACGCTCGCCCGCTTTTCTCAGATTCTCCATAGCCACTTTCAATTTCGAAGCGTACTCGAATTTCTCCTCTTCCACCGCTAGCAACTTCTTCACTTCCATTTGCCTTATAATTTTGGCCACTTCCCGATCGACGTACATTTCGAACGCCAGATCGTCGTAAGGCGAAATGTAATGCGGATTGTACGGAGCATCTCCCTGTCCGGTTAATTCCTGACCATAAGGCTCGCCAAGTATATTTATAGCTA